AAATATATCGGCAATAGCTCCCAATTTTTATAATTTGCTAAAATTCTTAATTCTACATTCTACAATATGTCTATACCGTTTGCAACTCACTATATATAACTATTGCAACTCAGTTGTGTTCCATATACAGAGTGTCCGGTAACTGATCGAGCAACCGCCGTGTACGAGTAGAACAGGTCAAAATAATCATAAAAATTATATACCATTTTGAAATTTTCTCGATATTTATTCCGTAATTAATTAAAATGTATAAACGAATAAGCGTACGAGAAGCGGTAGAACAGGCTCTGTGTGTAAAAGAAATGGCTTACCTCTTAGCAACGATGAGTAAACAGCTGATTTCAAGGCGGAGTAACAAGCGACACGTGTACGTTACTCCTTGAAATCAGCTGTTTACTCATCGTTGCTAAGAGGTAAGCCATTTCTTTTACACACAGAGCCTGTTCTACCGCTTCTCGTACGCTTATTCGTTTATACATTTTAATTAATTACGGAATAAATATCGAGAAAATTTCAAAATGGTATATAATTTTTATGATTATTTTGACCTGTTCTACTCGTACACGGCGGTTGCTCGATCAGTTACCGGACACTCTGTATATGGAACACAACTGAGTTGCAATAGTTATATATAGTGAGTTGCAAACGGTATAGACATATTGTAGAATGTAGAATTAAGAATTTTAGCAAATTATAAAAATTGGGAGCTATTGCCGATATATTTGCGCATTAATAATACAATTAATAATACAACTGAGAAAACTTAATAATAATAAACAATAATAATACTAATAATTAATAAATTACATATTTATAGAGCAAAAAATCCAATCAGTAATGACTCCTTAACTTGAGAGTTTATGAACTACCAACTTCATTGTGACCAAATCGTAAGTTATGATTTTGTGTAATTTACTGTACATATAATACTTTCAAATATATTAACACATTACACATTATTTTGATCAGATTATTTGCCGTATATATCGTATTATCTCAGCTATTGTCACAATCATGCAAGTCCTTGTGCAATGATTCGTATGTCGTGATCACTTGAATTGAAGAGCCTCTCGAATTTCATAAAAAAAAGAAATATTTGTATAGTTTAAAACTTTATTTTATATAATTGTCCTATGCAAAATTTCTTGAAGAATGCGTTATATAACAAAACAATTCTTAAAATCCTATAAATTTTTTTTAAACGTTGTTATGTAATCAGTCGTTGTTCATTGCATGCAATTAAATTCGCTTATAATGCAAGTCTGCAACACGTGTCATATGTTAATGCTATGTAATGCTATGATTACATTAATTATAAAATAATTACTATAATTCAGAGTACATAGTTGTCCTATGATGTAATTTTGCGTATCTAATTATTCCCAATGTCATTCAAGTCGTCCAAGTCAAACAGGAGTTGAATAAAGTAGGCACTAATATTTGATGATATTGCAGATTTAAGAATAATGTTTCCGTGGAAAACAATTGCGTCATGAATCTACATATTCATGCCAAGAGAAAAACAAACTTAATGCAAAAGCAAAAGAAAAACAAAATGAGTTAGAAGAAAAATGAAGAAAATTTTTTTGCACAACGAATTCCCGTGCTTGGCTTTTATAGGTTCATTTTTTGTTTTTTGATTTTAACTCTCAGAGCTTTTTATATCATTTTTTTAATAAAATGAATCAGAAATACGCGTATTATTCTTTAAACTATATCCTTTAAATCATAGCGCATGTTTTGTTGATTTAGAGATGATTTCTTCGTCGAAAAAAGGTCTTTTAACAGAAACTCACCGCGCAAATATATCTTTGATTTCGATAGAGTCCCCCGTACAAGCTATACTCTCCAAACTTTTCGTGAACTCTTCGCCACACTCTTTCAGGACCAGGAACATTTGCTTTATCTTTCCCGAAGTGAAAGTCGGCGTTAATTTAACACGTAGATTTCGCCACTTTTTCCCGGGCAACAGAAATAAATGGCCGGACAATGGATCGGTTTTCTCGTTGCAGAACATTCCACGATCGTGGAAACTCCCAAATTCCTTCGTCAGCACCGTTCGAATGAGATTTAAATCGGCGATCACCAGGTTTGGCTTGAAAAATGTGTACATTCCGAAGACACGATGTTCCTTATATTTCATATAGGCATTTTGAAAGAGTTCACCTGTTTACAAAATTTTTCTTCAATTTTAACAGAAGAATATTGTATAGATTGTATATGATTTGTATAGAATTGTTTAACAGATAGAATACATTTAAGGAAAAGAAGTAAATTATAATTGTGTCAAATATCAAAGAAAGAGGATGATTTCGATTGACGATTTTGATGCTGTATTTTCAGTCCAACATGATTAATATAATTCTAAAATTTGTATATATTTTTAATACAATAATAGAGTTTCATCAAAATTTCATATGTAGTTTAGAAAATATTATATTATTAATATTATACTTATTATAATACTTACCTATTGTCATTTTTCCAATTACAAAATCAGTCACATTGCCGGTTGGTACAACAGGCTCGATATAAAATACACCCTTTTTGCGCCAGAAATTGAACACCACATATTTGTAATAAATATACGCTAAAGTGAGAGTAACGATAAAAATTCCGATTGTTACCCCGATTAACATCGCGAATCAATATTTTCGTCTGTAATGTAACGATACACAATTATTTCATGAAATTCTACCCTCTAGCGTGCAAAGTGTTAAATTTTCGTTATTTCTAACATTCTTATCGTCAATAAATGAGCCGTTTAATTTGAAAGTGAATCTAAGTTCAATTTTGAAATTGATAATTTAGTTCTTACAAATCAATACAAATTTCTTTAAACAAACCGACAATCGATTAAAAAAAAATATCTCTGTTATTGACAAGAAAGGGTTGTAAGAGTTGTCTTGAAATACGTTATGTTTCATTTGAACCTTGGAAGTTAATTTAATATTTGTGATCACGATTTAATGGAAGGATGAAGTCTAACTTGAAATATACTTTGAAATAAAACCTGCGCTCTTCTGTCGCGTAATGCAATAATCATTTTGCGACTTTAACGTTTATATAACAATAACAAGGGACACTATCTAAATGTGACACGTCATTTTTCTTAAAACTCAGCACGCACGTAGCATATGCCATGAATTTCACATTATGTGATATTTTATATCGGTCCGTTTTTTAACTTGCACAATTATTTAGACGATTGTTTATGGGTTTTGAACTGATGGATTTCAGGTTTACGGGTTTATGGATTTTCGAGTTATGGGCTTTGAGTGCATGAGTTTATGTGCTTATAGTGTTTATATGTTTTAGGTTCACATGTTATGCTTATAGATATCAGTTTTTACGTACATCACCACTTCGAATTTAGTTTAAACAATCATCTAAATAATTGTGCAAATTAAAAACAGGATGATATAAAATATCACATATGAAATATCATACCATATGCTATGTATGTGTTAAATTTAAAAAAAATGACGTGTCACATTTGGATAGTGTGAAAAATTGTAATTTTGTATATGTAACTTGTAAGAATTTATAATTTTGTATATGAACACATGACCGAAAAGAGATAATCGTTATTAAAACTCTGTATACAAAAACCAGTATAATGATCTTAATATTCTTACTATTACGATTTATTTATTATGACTATCTATATTTTCTCTCTCTTTCTCTATATATATTAACATATTCGCGACCGCTAACTTAATTTATGATTCGTGATATTAGCGGTGTATTAATAATCCTTAAATCTCATATCAGATTCTATTTAGACTAAGGAAATTTGCTCAAATATAGTTTAGAAGACTTGGAAAGATATTTCATTTAAATAATATTTAAATCGCAATTTATTACAAAAATACATAATAATAAAAGACTCGATCATAAAGTTAATTAATAATATTTGTAGCATTTAGCTTATTTTATGAAATATTCAGAGCAAACTTTGTTATGTAACTTTGTGCGATATATACTAATTAAAGATGGAAAATTATGATTTCCAGATGCTATGAATAAGGAATATATTTGAGAGAAAAAATAGCGTATAACTAATTTTTTTTAATATAACTGTAAGTCTCACATGAATAACCCACTTCATTTTTAACAATTTGATAATTTATAGTCAATAATAATAATAATTTAAATATTCTGTGATCAATATTAGAACAGGATAAATTTACATGAAAAGTATAAAAATCCCTATTTAAAGGCATGGTCAGTTAAAATTTTGATATTTGAACTATTTTCGTTATGATCGATTTGTTTTAATATCTTGAAGAGAAAAGAAAATAACCGGTTTTATATTACTTTCACAATTAATATTTAAGAAGCAAACTGTTCATTATACTCCCGTTGTCACCTTTATTATAGAAGAAAAGTTCTTTATACGTCGTTAAGTGCAGAGCTAATTGTATATCTCACAATCAGAATACTGTATCAAATCACTGTTCATCACACATTGGATGTGCATATGTGCAATTGTCTTTCAGTACTGTGAAACGTTTCGATGATGAACAGTAGGTTTATATATCGATCCCAGCACACGCAATGACTTAAACATCTTGCGAAATATACTAAGTTCCTTAGCTACCATTCGTCATATACGAGAGAAGTAACTCCATGATCTTACGTAACGTAATAACGTAATGTTCATAGTGACTGGTTGTTTTTGTTCTCGTTATTGCTAATCTTCATTGGAAATTGTAGTAGAAGGAACAAACGGGATGAAAAAACGGATAGCAACATGTAATTATATGCACGTTATCTAATTATATTTTGTTACATAATTATGCACACGCTATTTTGTCGTTAATATATATGTATATATATATGTATAATTTATGGCTGCTGTTGCAAAAACTGCCTTATTTACCGATTTATCTCAAATTTTTTAAGTAGGTTCTTTGTAAATAAAAAATAAATATTTTTATTTTTATATATTTTATTTTACAAAATTTTTAGAATGACACAAAAACTAAGTAACTTTCTTAACATTCTTGTATTTTTATGTTTTTTTTTATATGTATTAATGTACTCCCTTGCGATGAACTTACTTATCCAACACGCGTGTATAAAAGACATCTTAAAGACGTCTTATGTAAAGATTATATAATAACCCACTTTTAGAGTTGTTATTTAGTGTTTACATCTCTTGTTAGATGCTTTGATTAATTAATGTTAGTTGGTTGCTGGCGTGTATTACGTAAGAACGTATTTCTTAATTATCCAACATATTAGACTGTATCCAGCAAACATTCAGGTAACTATTAGATGACAACCAGGTTACATAATTTAATTATAATACTCCACTCAACAATATAACGTGCGTTAAGAATTACGTTGAGTAGGAAATTATAACTAACAGTTATCCTAGACAGCACAAATGTCAAAACCGAGTCATTAGGAGGTCTTTAAGATACCTTTAAGACAATACCTTATAAACTTGTCTTAAAGATGTCTTAAAGATGTCTTAAAGATGTCTTATAACCCGATTTTGGACATTGTGCTGTCTGAAATGTTACTGTAATTTTGAACTTGCCGGGTATAAATTTATCTTCTCTCTATAAAATTGAAATAATCGTCAAACAGCAATTAATTGGGAATTGCAATTAATTTAGAGAATTGCGTTTCTCTCTCTCTCTCTTTAAAAATAGAGTTGAGATGAAAGCTAAATAATTTATTTGAATGAACATCACATGGAAAATACAGGTTGTGTTCCGACATTCCTTGCCGGTACTGAAAATCTGTAGTTGATGCCCTTATAGAAATATCATACTAAGAATCATTGATAATTACTTATTTTCAGTATTAAAAATACTGGATAATGCAATGGCAAATGTTTTTTTTTTTTAATTCACTCTTGGATAATTATAAAGGAACATGTGTGTATATATATATATATTCATATATAATTTTACATAATTACGCATAAATTTATATGTAATTATACATATTGTTATACATAATTGTGTATAATTATATATAATGTTATATGATTCCCTTATAGAAATATCATACTAAGAATTATTGATAATTACTTATTTTCAGTATTAAAAATACTGGATAATAAGTAATTATCAATGATTCTTAGTATGATATTTCTATAAGGGTTCTATAATTATACATAATTATGTATGGACAAATTTTATACAAAATTTTGCATGAAAAATTTTTCATCGGGTCGTTTAGTGACTCTCGATTTAGGGAATGTCTGGGTGCGTCTGGGGTACGTTCAGTTTCCCTACCTAGGCCTTTATTCTTGAAATAGTTGCGTATATGTAAGTTTTACTGAGCAGATTTAATCATACCATAAAATAACTGCGCAATGAAAATTATGTATACGCAAAAATTTCAAGAATAGGGGCCCTGGATGCACTCTAATATTAGAAGTGCTATGAATTAAGGCTTAGTTCCCTTATAGAAATATCATACTAAGAATCATTGATAATTACTTATTATCCAGTATTTTTAATACTGAAAATAAGTAATTATCAATGATTCTTAGTATGATATTTCTATAAGGGTTGCACAAACGTTATTTTGGTTTTAAGTGATACTTAAATATATGTCTATCTTTATTTATATAAAAAGAAAGATAAAGATAAATATATGTTTAAGTTTCGCTTAAAGCCAAAATAATGTTGGTGCAACCAGGCCTAAGTGCTATGAATTAAGTGAAGTGCTCTAATACTGGAAGTGTATATGTAATATATACTATAGTGTTTCTATAAAGGTCGTTCTACATTAGTTGCAAGTCGATTGCAACTCTTGTTGCAAAGCCATTCAGAAGCGTCAATAGCACCATTGATACTTCTGATTGGCTGTCGCAATAAGAATTGCGTCTGCTTGCGATCGAGTTGCAACTAATCCCTACGTTCAGCAGAGAAAGCTACTGTTGTAAAATTCATGAATCTAATTGGAGCATGCTCTTAATTTTGGTTGAATCCAAGAGCACGTACCAATCAGATTCACGAATTTTACAACAGTTGCAAAGCAGCTTTCTCTGCTGAACGCAGCCAATGTAGAACGATCTTTACATAAACTCAAATGAGGAATCTGAACGCAGCCTGATATAAGCATAAACAATCCGATATCTAATAGGTGAGTTTGTTTTCTAGGGATAGAACGTTGTCAGCTAGGAACTTTAGAAAGTGACTTCTAAATGCATTGTGAATCCAGCATAAGCATCTAACTATACTCTACTACGGGCCACATGACGCTTCCGCCAATGTGCGCGCGCGCAAGAAATCTCACGGTGTGACATCATTGCTTGGTCTCGGATGAAGAACGATTTCGTCTGGTTTCGTCACGAGAGTACGGTATCATTCGGCGGGAGCGACCTGAGGCAGGGTAGTGCAGCGTGACGTTGTGTGAGTGCGTGAGAGTGTACGCGTGTTGCACTCGGGCATTGTGCGGGACAGGCCGCGAGAATGACAGTCCGCTCGCTCGGGGAGGAACGGGTCGCGTGAAGGAGGAATCGCCGACTTCGGAACCGTCATCCATAGAACATATGATCGCGCTTGGGGCTGCGGGAGCGTGCCAAGGCTCAAACGTCAAACGCCGCGGATTGCGTTTCCACTCGTGTCGACCTGACGTATCCCAGCAGTATCACGCGTCCTCACTCGGAGATGAAGCGCAGCGTCGTCTCGCTCACGTGTCTGTAGTGGGATTTCTTCGCGAGTAGTGTGCGATCCGCGAGCGAAGGCAGTCCGGAGAACGAAGCGCAAGCGAATAAACATGAGTTCCGTCTGGAAACGCCTGCAGCGGGTGAACAAGCGTGCCGCGAAGTTCCAGTTCACCGTGTCCTATCATGAGGTCACGCTCGAGACGACGACGAAATGGTGAGTGACGCGTGCGTTTCTGACGTCTCATTGTTGAGTAAATCGCAATGGTTCAAAGATCACGTTAGTTCACGACACAACAATACAATTTAAATAAGATTCCGATTTATTTATGATACTGCACTTTTAACAGATGATAATAACTTTGTTCTTCTTAACTGAACTAGTGTCACAATACTTGGAACATTGCTTTCAACTTTTTCTTTCAACACTTGATTATATACTCATTATATACTCATTTTATTCTAAAGGCATAAAAAGTTCAGTCTAGTTGAGCTAGGAAAAACAGATCTAATAGCTCTGCATGTTTGCTTTTAGTTAAAGTAATGATGCATTGGAACTTTGTTCCTTTTTCCCTCAATATTTTGTAATATACTTGCTTTATTTTAAAGAAAGTGCTATCTAGTTCATTTAGAAAAGAACAGACTTGATATATATTGAATAATTGAGATAATTGTTTAGTTTTAAGGCTAAATACTTTGTGTGATATTCTGTTGAAAAATATTGAAGCAACAATGCTCCTCATTAGCTACAGAAACTTTAGAAATACTAACACTGCAGGAAACCGAACAAGCTGAGCGTTGTCTGGACCAGACGCAGCAGAAGAGTCAATTCAGAACCTTTAGACTGGGAGCCAAGTCTGAGCGATCCACTGAAGGGTGTCATCAGTTGGGCAGTTCCTGATAATCATACAGTTTCCGTGACATTATTTAAGGATCCAAGAACGCACGAATTAGAAGACAAAGACTGGACATTTGTCATCGAAGATGTAAGAAATAACAGTGATTAATGACTATGCTTAGAGAACAAACCTGTGACAGTAAATATACATTGTTCCATCATTGAGAGCAGGTGTCGTCAACAGGGAAGAGGCGCCATGTCGCTGCCACTAATATAAACATGAAGAAATACGCCACTTTGGAATCTAGTCAGCAACAGCTCAAATTAGACTTGAAACCTACTTCTAAAAAGATAGTTAGTGCTACACTGGAATGTACTTTGTCATGTGTATTTCTGCGAGAGGGAAAGGCGACGTAAGTGTACAATTTAGTATTGTCAACATATTTCACAATTAACTCCTCGCAAGTTTGGAGTTTTCCAAAATTTTTACTACTTATGAGCCACAATGAGCACATCTTAGGCATATAGAGTAAACTTTCAGTAGCCATCACTTGGTCTGTTTTAGGTACTGTAGCACGAATTTTATCAAATCTTAAAAAGTGTATAGGAAATTTACAACAATAAATAATAAATTCCCATACAACTTAATATGTTTTTGAAAAAAATCAACGCGAGAATGTTGAAAATAGACCGACTACTGAGAAGGTTGTTAGATGTTGTACTCTGCTTTTGTTTTTCTTGTTTTTTATTCGAGAACCGACTTAAATTGACGTGTATGTTCCGCGCGAGCGTCAATTAAGTGCCAACGCGAGGAGTTAAATTGTAGAAATCTTTGAGAAATTACATGTCGTTTATGCGGCTTAGTCGACAAAATTGTAACTATTTTTTACTTGCCAGGGATGAGGACATGCAGAGTATGGCGAGTTTAATGTCGGTTAATAATAACAGCGATATTGCGCCATTAGACGATTTCGATAATGAGGATATACCCGAGGATGTTGAGGAGGTATCTGTGAAGAATCTGGATGAGATTTTAGACATTTCTGCACAGCTCGATTTAATGACAAGCAGCCTCACTGAGAGTGAATTACCCAGCACTCCTATAAGTGGTAATTGCTAATCTTTGCATATTATTTAGTATTATTGATATTAAGTTATATTCATGAATATTCTAAAA